CACCAGCGCCTCCCTCAACATTGATTGCCCTACGCGCATTCTTTCCCAACCTTCGGCCGCCGCCGACGCTCAGAACCAAGTCCAGAATGAGCACGACGACGAAGACTTGGCTGCCGACGTGGTGCTTGATGGCGAGCTCGAGGCCGCCGCCGCCGCGCCCGACGTCATCTGAGCAATCTCGCGCTCGGCATCTCTGATCCTTGCACCGTTTTGTTTTGCTTTTCTCCTTTTTTTTTTTTCCGTTGTGTGCATGCATGTGCCATGTGCAGCCATCTCTCTCGAGTTGCTTGCGCCTTACCACAAATCACAAATCTGCATAAAAACAACAAAACACCACACACCCTCAAAAAAAAAAAAACAACAACAACAAACCATGGGGTTTCCCGCTGCATGTTCTACCTGTTCCTGTGTTTCCGTTTGTCGTTTTGTTCCGATGCGTCTTTAGAATGTCCTGCATGCATATTCTTTGGGTTGGATCGTGCACGCGCACGCCCTTCTCGCCGCCGCTTTGGTGTTTTCTTGTCGTCTTTGTTCACTGTGAATACAGACAAGCCCTGCTGCTGGTGGTTATATTGGCCCGCTGGACCTATGTGGACCGCTTGCCTTTGGTACCCTGGGAGCGTACAGTTTGTGCCCTCCCTTTTTTTTGTGCTTTTGGGCCTCCATTTTTCTCGTGCATGGTCGCCCGTCCTCACGTTCTTGTCCTTGTTTATTCCATACTCGTGCCTGTGGGTGTTGTCTCGGCGTATGGCGCACCGCCTTCATTTCGGCTGCGTGCCCAGTTGCTGTCCGTGCCAGCTACACGCTTCTCAAGAGACCATCGTCACAGGTGTCTTGGGCTTGTTTTTCGCCCCTTTTTTTTGTCTCGCTGTGCAAGTACCCGTCCTTGTTTTACTCACCATCAGCATCAAACCTTTTTCAACACTTAAAAAAAAATTGAACAACAGAAGAAATGAGCGACCATCACTGCGGTCCTGGATAAAATAGATGGCACGATCAATTGCGGAAGAAAACAGGGCAGGGCGACAGAAAAAATAAGGGAACAGGAGGAGCTCAGCTCTTCAGTCGCCACAGCATGATATGGACATGCGACAGAGCAGGGAGGAGGCAAAGCAAGCAGCTGGGCAAGCTTAGGTAATGTCACACCATCAGCAGACAGTTGTGTCCTTTCAGACTTCTTCCTCTCCAACGTCGCCATCTTGCAGGTCAAAAACGTTGCGAACGCTACCTCGGCTGCGCCCGACCTTGCCTGATGCCTTGCGACTCACAACCGTCATCTTCTTCAGGCGTTTCAGATCAGCCGAGACAGGGAGCTTGACCTAGTTTCAACGGCAACTTGGATGAGTCACATGACCAAAGAGCAAACTTTTGATGATGATGGAACCCCTGCGTCACACCTCAACCTCAAGCGACCATCATGACGACCTACCTCTTCCTCTTCTTCGGCTGCCGCTTGTGACCCTCGTTCTGGCTCGCCAGACTTCTCGGCCTTGTGCTGAGGTTCAGGGGCGCTGTCAGGAGCAATGTGAGACACAACAGAAGTTGGCTCACTGCTAGGCTCGCTGTTCATGCTTGTTTTCATGGGGCTGGCCTCGGCAGCTTGATCGGCCAGCGTCTCGAGGGCCGAGCGAGATTCGGGCTTTGGCGTATCTTCGGTGCTGTTAGGCTGTTGAGGGCCCGCCGGCGGCACGGAGCTTGATGTTGTCAACTTGCTGCCGTGGGGCGAGGGCGTGTCGACGAGGGCCACTGAAGGTGTGAACATTTGATCGACAGGGGTTGAGGGTTCTTCGTCATCCTCGCTTAGGGCGCCAGGCGAGACGGCCACTGGAGGGGGAACGGTGGCGGCAACCGGAGTCACGTTCTGGTCGGTACCAAAAACATTGTCGCGAACAGAGGCGCGCTGGCGGGACTTGCGCGGGGAGGCGGTCGAAGCCTCGAGCGGGCTCATGTGATTGACCTTGAGGGTTGGTCGCGAACCTGGAGTACCGGGGGCCACCACGGGTTTGGGATCTAGTTTGGGCTTCGAGGCTGCGGCACGGGGAGTGACGGGGCTCTGCTCGGCTGGCGGTGAGGCGGTTTCGCCAGTTTCATCGCCAAAAACAAACATGTCGTCGATCATGCCCCCAACGTCGGTGCTTCGCTTGGCTCCATCCAGAGTCAAGATACAGCAAGAGATGTTGTCTGAGCTACCACGTTGAAGGGCGTCCATAACCACGGTTTGGCAAACCGCATCGAGCGCCGCCTAGCAAGCGCGCGAGCCAGGCACGGAGGAATGGAAGGTCAGGGTGGGAGTGAGGGGCATGGGCCCGGGCAAGACCGCGGAAAAAGGGGAATCTCCTACATGAAGTGCAGACAACGTGCGCATACAAACCTCAGATAAGAGTTCCTCGCGAACCATGCCAACGACGGTTTCACTGCGCAGAACGTCCCACACGCCGTCGCAGGCCAAAATGATGAATTCTAGGTTCTCATTTCTGGGGACAATGGTAATATCCTGATTTGTTTTGGGGATGAGGGGGAAGGGTTGCGCAAAGATTCAAGTGAGGCGAGGAGCGGAGCAACAAGAGTTGAAGGTGGCGGGAAAGGTAGAGAGAGAGAGAGAGAGAAAGAGTAATTTTTTTTTTTTTTGACAGGAGGTGGGATCGACGTACTGGAATACACGTGACCATGTGCTCTTCAGGTTTGATGTTTGGATCCTTGAAAGAAAAGTCACCAAATGCGCGAGAGACGGCCAGTGATTGGCAGACACGATTGCCTGCCACAAAGCCGCCAGCCTGATCACGAGCGGAAGGAAAGCGAGCGAGGTCCAAGCAAGAGGATATGAGTGTGCGTCAAGGCCACAGAATAACACGAGCAGGCGGTCCGGGGACATGAGGGCATGCACGTACGGCCTCGATGCGTTGGCGTTCTGAAGGGGTTTGTGGTTTGTGGTCACGCGTGGCGAGGAGGGCGTCGGGAGAATCAATGGCTTGAGCCAGGACAGCGCGTGAATCACCAATGTTAAACACGACGAGGCGATCTTCAAGCAACAGCGCCCCGACACACGTTGACCCGGGATCCTCCATGTCCTGCCAACCATGAAAAGGGACGCCACGTGAGCGTGGGATGGATGACCAACGGGGAAAGGAGGAAGGGGCTACCATCAGATTGTTGAGGAGGTGAGAAAGCCGGGTCATGGGGGTTTCCATTGCACCAACCTCAACGGTGCGGAAGTTGGGAATGTGGGAGGGAAGATCATGGTCGGTGGATTTGCAAGCATCGATCATGAGCTGCTCCAATGCGTCGTCGGTCAAAGCACTTCGATCCGAGACCTGACGCAACGCCGCCGCGACTTTTTGTGGCAGGTCATGGGCGGCCGAGAGGGCGGCGGCACGGCCGCCATGTCCATCCAAGCAGGCAATCAGGACCAAACCGGATCCATCTTCAAGGAGATCGTTGTTGAGAATGTGAGCGTCTTCCATGTTCCGGCGATAACCTGTGGAATTGCACGATGCCAACGAGGACGGATGGTGCGGGATGTGAGGCCAGTGTTGTGAGAATGAGAAGGGCATGCTGGGGGCGTGAGTCGGACGAGCGACAACAACGCACCTTGGATACCGCAGGCACCAAGGGCGATATGGGGACCGTGCAGGCCATTGAGCAGCGCCCGCTCCGTATCTCGAACGGGCTTTTTCAGCTCCCGAGCTGCCGCCTGCCCCATCTTGTCGAGCTCAAATCTCTTGCCAGCACTTCCACCCCGTCAACCACAACACCTGTCGATGAGCGAGCGTACTTGAAGGATAAACACGCACAGCCCGGCCAACCACCAACCACCAAAGCCACCCCTCACCACTGCGAATGCAGCTCCAGAAGAAGAAGAAGAAGAAGAAGAAGAAGAAGAAGAAGAAGAAGAAGAAGTTGGACGAGTGCCGCGTCACGTCGGGTCGCGCTGTTGTTGTCCTGCACGCGTGTGTGTGGTCTCAAAATTTTTTTCGCGCTCTACACACACACACACACACTGATGTAAGAGCAGGGGTAGTCAACCGAGGATTTAAAACACAGTCTTCCTGTTCCGGGACAGCGTGGAGAAGAGGCCAAGCTACTCCCTCTGCCAACCACGACCTCCGCCGCTGCCGCTGCCACTGCCAACTGCCGTACCTCATCAACGGTGACGCCGCCGCCGAAATCGATCCAAAATGATCCGAGAGGCAAATTATAAAAAAATAGAGGGTGAACCAAATACATTGGAAAATAAAGTCGCCGCACGAGCGAGCGTGAGTGGTTTCAGTATTTTGTGTAAGCTCGAATTTTCTGACATTCGGCGATTCCGGTATCGTTGGAAAGAGGAGAAAGAGGGCTTTCTGGTGCCTTTGAGACGGTGGACGAAGCTGCCCTGTGGGCCGAGCTAGCCTCACACCAGCGCGTCCGTAAGGATTTTGCCAGGGGTCTCGATGGAGAGCTTTTGACTGAGTTTCTCAGCAATGGCACGACCCAGCCTATTTGAGGTCACTATAACCTGGCGACCGTTGCGCCAATTGACTTGGGATTTTGACAGAGGCTGCATGAGACGAGACACTACACAAATGGTCCAAACACCCCCGTAGGTCCATTTGGCCCAAAAGCGACAAAATCTCAGCTTGACCAAAATGACAATCGTGCAAATCGAAACTCGAGCTCACACATTTTTTTTTAATTTCTTAGAGAGGGAGACTTAGAGAGGGAGACTGAGAGAGACAGAGAGAAAGGAGAGACAGAGTGAGAGCAGAGAGACAGAGAGACAGACAGAGAGAGAGACCGAGAGACAGAGAGACAGACAGACAGAGACAGTGAATTGGTTAGAGAAAGAGACAGAGAGACAGAGAGACAGAGACAGAGAGACAGAGAGACAGAGAGACAGAGACAGAGACAGAGACAGAGACAGAGACAGAGAGACAGAGAGACAGAGAGACAGAGACAGAGACAGAGAGACAGAGAGACAGAGACAGAGACAGAGACAGAGAGACAGAGAGACAGAGAGACAGACAGACAGAGACAGAGACAGACAGAGAGACTG